CTGCCCGGGGATGGTGTCAGCCTGTCGCGGCGCCGGCAGTGCGACCCGGCAGTGTCCCCGGTCGGCCCCGTCAGGCCGCCCCCGCACCGTTTCCGGCGGTCCGCGGCTGAGAGCCCGCCGGCCGCCGCCTCTCGGTCGCCGATGGTGGCCGACTGAGTCGTAATGACCGCGTTATGTTCCCAATAATGACCAGTCCGAGAGCGCACTGCAGTCGCCGAGCGGGGTCGTGCAGTGCCGGCGCTGCAGAGGCGGTATAAATGTCGACGGTCGGCCGACACAACACCGCGCTACGTTCATTCGGTGGGCGCTCGCGTGAGGGTTTTTTGCGCTACCAGATCCGCGATTCAGCCGGCCAAATAGTGAACTCGATCCAGCAATGACGCATTACGGTAGGCAAGAACATAGGTCCGGGCAGGAATCAAGAATAGCTCCGCGTCATTGCTATGATTGGCTATGGAGGATAATGATACAGCAGAGTTTAAAGGTAGTGTGCCACCTTTGAAAGATTTCCCATTTTATTTTTCCTAGGATAAGAAGCTTCTGTTTTTACCTAATATCGCAAAAAAATCAAAAATGGGCCTGGAATAGTGCCTTTTTCTCCTAAAAGTTTATCGGTTTTTAGATATGTATATAAACGTATTAGTATTGCTTCTTTTATTTGGCTGTCGAACATTATTTATGGTTTGAAATATGATTTTATGTAAAATAATTGATATGAAAAAGCCGTCTTATAAGTTATGACCCCATTTCACCACACGCAAGTGGCAGAAATGACAATGATCAGCTGACGCATTTTTCTTGGCCGAAGTCAGAGCGCGCAGCCCGACGCACCACCACCGCACCACAAAGTATGAGCAGAAGCCGCGCCCAAAGCCAGGGCCCCGGTAACGTGAGGTAGCCGAGTCGGGGCAGCGTGCGCTGACCCAAGCCGGGGCCGCAGCTTTGGGCGCGGTCTACCGCATCCCCGCGGGCAGCCCCGGGCTATCACATGACACCGGGAGGACGCGCGGCTCCGGCTTGGGTCAGCGCACGCTGCCCTGACTCGGCTACCTCACGTTACCGGGGCCCTGGCTTTGGGCGTGGTCTACCGCACCACCTAACAGGCGTGTTCGAAACCGCAGGAGCTGATGATGAACGGGTTTATCGAAACTTGATTGGATGAGCATATCGGTAATAGCGATTTCAGTGTGTGCATTTATTGTTCATAGTGGTGTGAAATGTGGTTGGGGTACGACCGACAACCCGTCGGGGCGAATTTCGCACTGGGGTACTCAAAATTTGAAGAATTTAAGACGTTTCCATGAGTTTTGAATGTATGGATAAGTTCTAAAAATCCGGTTCTCCTTATCTGGGCCATTAACTCCATACGGTCCAAGAAAGCTGGCACACTACCTTTAAAGGGGGATGAACATTTAGGTATGAGGACAGACCCTGTGTTAGAGCATTTAATCGAAAATTAGCGAGGTCGTTGCGGTTTGACGATACGGGTAGGTTAGGTACCCATCAAACGTTATTGTGTCCGTACAAATAAAATGTATCGATATAGGTATGGAAAGATAACGGTATCATGGAAGTCACCAAAATAGCTTGACATGAAAATATACGAGAAATACCTACATTTGCTTCTTTCATTGACAGGCTGACGTGTTTCGAAATTTGAACTGTAATTTTGCTACTCTATGTATCCGGATCTGAAATTGTACCACCAGCTATAATGTTCATTTGTTTTTCCTTTGTTAGCGCCTGTATTTTAATACAATGCCACGCAGTAGTAATGTGAGCCTCGGCGGCCCGGCGGCGTATGGTTCGACTATTGACCTGTGGCCGGTGACGTCATCGGTGCCGGATTTGGCGCTGCCATATCGGCCCGCCCCGTCAGCACATCGTGAGAGGCTATTGAGGCTGGGCGCTTCAGTGGCCACTAATAGCGGCCGCACACTGCCGAGTGCCGACTGAGGCAGACGACCCTTCGTGCGTCCTCATCGTCCGTGTAGCCGCCACGATGATTCGTTATAGGCGATCTAATGATTTCATTTAGATGCAAGCGCTATATTTTATACTGAGGTTAAGTTACCGTTCAAATCAAATACGTATCCGTTCAAATCAAATAATGGAATGTCACCATAGTTCCGCAGTAGGTATGTACCATAGGTCACAGGCCGCTCGACACACGCTTGGCAGAGCTCAGGTTATATTTCAGCCCACGTTCAAGTTTTGCATAGGCGTAGCTAGATGAATATCATAACGCGCTTATGTGTTTATTACATGCCTACACGGTAATGAAAATTAATGAGCACACTTTAGTTTTTATGTCTGACACGGTGAAGGCATATATAGATACAGAAGCCATTAATTAAGGTTCCGTCCCGTACTATGGAGTAAACTTATTACGTGTTTAGTCGTTAGGGGAAGTTGGGGCAATGCCGGAGTTGGGGCAAAGCCGAAATTCGAGATATTTCGAAAACCGTAAGACATGGATGCCACCTGTCAGTGATGCTCTGAAGCTTAAGTGACTACAATTATCGCATGTTTGTTACGAGTCGTCATTCGGAATACTTCGGCTGTGAGGGCGCCAAGAGCGTTTTCAAGGTACGCGTTCCTTGTAAGTTGTACTACATGCGCCTTTGAAGCTGCATTTCTTACTCATTATGCTACCGTTTGTCTGGCCAATTCGGTCAAGTAATCTTCAGCATGTCTTTGCATAAGTGTGCTGCCTATTTGAAATTTATATGACACGTTGAAAAGTTATGGGCCTGCAAATGAAAGTATGGCTGGCTGGGGTAGTGCCGAAAACGTGCAATTACGCACGTTAAAGCACGCTACGTGGACTTTACTGCTGTAGAATAGCAACGCGAATTTTTAGTCACACAAATTACACTTTCAACCGACACAACGGCCTGTTACCTATAAGGAATTATTTACCTGGCATTTTCTTATTATATCACACAATTATAACTTCCAGTGTGCACCAAGCGTCCTCAAGCTCTTAAAACGCGTGTCAGCTTCGATAAATTCTGGATAAAGTTTGAGATAAAGTGGCAAAACATCAATGTCGGCATTCCCCGTAGATCATTTCTCCCATTTTCGGCTTTCCCCGCAGTCCGGGGCAACGCCGAAAAAGTCACTTCTTTGATATTTTTAGTTTGTGCGCTTAACGGTATGCGAATTCATCAAATGCGCCTGGTATGTTTGAGAGGCAAAAGACTGGCCTCTCGAATGACGCCAACAAGAATAGCTTATGTTGTCTACCTTGCGTGCTACGGGCGTCAGAAAAAAAGTATTCGGCGTTCCTCCAACTTCCCCTAATATACAGGATATGTAGGTCCTATAATTGGTAATCGCTGTTATGCACACGAAAGGTGCGCAATATTATACCTACGTTTCTGGAGCCATTAACCAGTCATCACTAATAGGCAAGGTTAAACGACTTTTTAATTCCTCTCGGATCTGCACAAGCTAGGCATTTATTCCATTTTTGATATAAGCGCTGGCTTGTAGCCGTATCAGGGGTGCGGGAACTACTTTCATACTGGGGGGGGGGGGGGGGAGATCATATCATTCACCATATTTATCCACCATTATAATTATGGAGATCACCATAATTAAGATCAACCTAGGGTACCCCCAAATTTAGTTATCTCACCGGTTTTAGGCCACTTACTTTTCATCCCTTGGCTTTTTCAACAACAAAAAAGAAAACATTTGCAAACAAGTGCGGTATTCCGTTTCAAAGTTGTGGGGGCACCGCCCCCACGGCCCCAGGGCCTAGAATTGGGGGGCAGGCTGTCCCCACTGCCCCCCCCCCCGGTTCCCGCGCCTACGAGCTGTATTTGTAGGTATTAGAATGGTTTCGCCCTGCTATTTAACTGGAAGTGCGAAACGCTAACAAGATTACAGGAACATCACAAATTAGAGAGGCACAGACAGGATTTTCCGTCACATGCTACAGTGACAGTTACAAAACAAACAGTCCTTTCCCATGAAGATCGTGTATTGAGTGTAGTATGTGGAGTGTGGACCTTCCTAGCACTCACCTACCTCCCCGGTTCCTAAGCCGTCCATGAAAGGATGCGTTAGCTTACATAGTATGAACGTTTACCGTGTGTTCCAGTGTGCTGATGGAATGCCGCCGATTCAGTCCATCCCGGACATGCGGTAGATAACAAATGGCTGCCAGGGGAGGCTTATCTCAGTTGACGTCAGCTTCCATCAGGGCCGCTGATCGACTGCCGACAGATATATCTGAACCCCATGAACCCCGTGATATACCGTGATACCCCGTGATATACCGTGATATACCGTGATATATACCGTGATATCATATCAGAGATGTAATGAACCCCGTCTTACGGCAACCACCGTCCCATGGGTTACCCGTGGTCACCTGTAGTTATCTTGCTACTCAATGATGACACTCCTGACCCAAGAGGCATTGCTGGAATGAATGGACATTGTTCATTGGACAGCGCCACTAACCCTCGACATAGTCTCGCCCCTGGTTAACCCTGGTTGCCCTGTTTTGCAACCTAAAATACTTCTTTGAACGTAAATTGCTTTATCCACAAGCGTAGCGCACCACCCATGCTTTGTCATAAGTGAGCGTGCGTCTAACGGTCATCTGTTGGGCGCAACTTGACCTCACCTCCACACCCCCGCTGGACAATCAGCTGAGCTCAGAGCGGCCCACTGTCGGCGCGGGGCCGATTCGGCGCCCGATTGGTCTCGTCTGAACGCCCCAGCCTTAATCTGACCGCGCTCTGTCGGTTTTACTTGGCCCAGTCCGTCGGCAGTGCATCGGTAAAACACCTATAAAACTCACTCCCGATCGGCATACACACATACACCGGAGCGGTTTCTTAGCAACGCTACCTCCGACGTCAATATTGCCACGGCCAATGGCAGGCGGCGTTACAGTCGGCCGACGAGAGAGCTCGGTCGTCATTGGTTACACACGCGCTCCATTCATACCCGTGTGGGAGGATGCCGTCCTGTCGGCTATATAGGGAGGTAGACACGGTTCCACGGGCAGATGGTGGATATTCGACGACAGGGGAGCAGTAGACGACCCGAACACGACATGGCCTCATCAGGTGAGTCCAGAGTGCTTGACTTGTTAGGTAAATAAATTTAAGAGAAGTTTTTAATAGTTTACCAAAAATATGCTTTATTAATGCTTTCTGATTTTTGTTACCGAAGGATATGTTCTTTTAATAAGTTGTAAATTCAATCTGAAAAATCCGCGCACGTTAAATCGGCATTTTATTTATGCTCAAAACGGCCATTCGTTTTTGCCCACGATGTGCAAAAGAAACAATTGTTAAAAGTACGATTGCTTGGTTTGAAATGTTTTCGACACTGCTTTGATGCATGTCGCGCTGTCCCGCCGTTTTCAGCGACGAAGGCCGTCTCGGCACTGCTGGTGCTGAGCGCAGGTATCACCGCCAATCCCGTTCCCGTCCCGAACCCCCTGTACCACGAGCCCCAGCCTCTGTACTCCGACATCGGGCCCGTTTACCCCTTCTCCGACTCACTATTTGCGGAACAAAACGCCGCTTACCCGTACCGGGATTCGAACCCGTACCTGCCGGAGTCCCTGGTGGCCGAGCTGGACGGTCCACTGGCCGCTGAGCAGCTGGTCGGGGGCGCGGAGATGTTCCCCGATCAGCTGACCGGCGAGGAGCGCTCCCAGCTGCTGGGTCTACTGACGGGCGAGCTGCTGCCGGCTGAGGGAGATGACTACGGGCCGCTCGGCTACGACCTGCCGCCGCCGGTGGACGCCGACTGGTATGAGGCGCTCGGACTCGCCTCCCCTTACGATAGTGAAGATCTCGGCGGAGAGTACGGCGACTACATTGGCGAGGTGGTTGACGAGCCGCTGCTGTCCTCCGGACCTAGCCGGGCCATGACCAAGAAGGACACCGCGGCCTCCGAAACGCGCGCCGAACAGCCCGCAGAGGAAGACGATGAGGAGGAGAGCGACGACGACGATGATGATGACGATGACGATGACGACGCTGATGGTGGCAACGTTGCAGATGACGAAAGCGAGAATACTGACGCCGCCGCCGCTAACCTCGTCAAACAAATCGAGGAGCTGAGGAAGACGATCCACACCGAGGGTCTCCGGCACCCATCCCAGCCCGCTCCCCAGACCCCCGACCACCCTGTCCGGTCTCCATCCACCCCTGCCCCGGCGGTGGAACCCGGCTCAGGGGACAGCTCTCGGTCGGTGAGTGCAGAGGCGCCACTGGCGGACCAGCTGCGGGCAGCCGCCGCCGAGCCTACCGCCGCACCACTCACAGACTCGGAGACCGCCTACGAGACAATCAAGAGGTTCCTCGTCATGGAGGACGCCCTGAAAAGGGTGAGTCAGCCATCATAGATATATGTCACCCTTATTTTTTTGTTTCAATATGGGCAAGGAGTTGAGTTTTATATTCACAGCTCATTTATTTCAGCCATTTCACAAAATGTAGCAATAACGGCACGGTTTTCATTCCTTCCAACTACTCTCAGAAAAGGAACAAACGCCTATTGGGTCATGGTAGTGCGGAATTTTCTGATCGTTTGCATGTCATACGTCTTAGTTTGGCGTTCTATTGTCTGCTCCTGCGCGCTACAGTAAGGTCGGCTCTTAATTAATCTAGTACCGCGTAGGCATGTGCGGTGTGTGCACTGTGTAGGTGGTATGCAACGCGTATAATATGTCAAACCTTTGAAACACATATACTCATTACTCATGTAGCCAACCATGCACAAAGGAATGCATGATAGGTTTAGTAAAGTAGCAGCCTGGGTAAAATAATGAGAACCTCATCCTGTCATCGCTTAGCAGTGATTCCGGGATTTATCTTTTTCAAATTAACAATGCGCTGGGTAACCATCAAAGGCTCCTGTTCGGGCGGCGGCCACACATTTCCATTAATTATAGTGCAGGCATGCCTATCATTAGTTGCTTCAACGTATCAACTAATCAATGCAATATTGCGTTCCACGTTTGCCGACTCGTGATAGTCAAATGGCTGCGCCATTTGAAATAATGGTTTTGCGTTTTGAGTTACAGCAGACTCGCAGGCGGACACGCGGGAATGGCACTTCAATGACGGGAGTAGACAGTACGCACATTATGGGGGAACATACGCGGGTCACTGGAGAAGAAAAGGTGATGCTTAGACCACGAGCTGGTAACGGCAGCAGGCAGACGAATTACTTTAAACAGTATTATGGTCAGGAGGAAAACACGTAGGTACTAAGTACTAACATTTTCGCATTTAGTGCACTAAGTGGCTTGCATTTTTAACTTTGCACAATCTGTTTGTGACATATGCGATCAATTAATACACATACTTTTTTAGAATCATTCAACAAGTGATTGAACCTAGCTTACCTGGTCACTGTACCTATATACAGTATAATTTCGCATTTTCGTATTCCGATGTCCTTTACTTGTCTCGAAATGATTGAATAATTATCAGGATGATGCTTATTTAATCATTATCAGAATTATCAGTGACTCGAACAAAAAAATCATACTCATCCGATCACAGTGATCATTTAACGGTTCTTGTCCTCATTTCTTGTGTCATTTTGATGAGACATTGGACAATAACCATGTTATCGTAACATCACACTAAAATATTTATCAGCATTCGACCCATACATTACGGCGACCAGGCCTATCAGTCGCCGTTTGCCGTTTCCTCGGAGCCGCCGCCGCCGATCCGACTTCTGGCTGGGTAGACTGTACCGCAGTGCCCGCCTGCCGTGCGGCACAGCCTACCCGCCAGGCAGTCTCGTCGCGGAGCCGGACTGGCTTGCTTGAACTGCACTGCTGCAAAGTGGGGACCAAGACCAAAATTGTCAACGCCACAGGGGCGTCGACACCGGTCCGACTTTTCCGACTAGTCGGACCACTTTTTCGACTAGGCGGTGCCCTGCTGTGGCTCGCGGGGGCCCCTGCTGCAGACCGCGGGGGCCCTGCTGCGGCCGCGGGGGCGCCTGTTGGGGCTCTCGGGGGCCCTGCTGCGCCTCTGGGGCCCTGCTAGACACCGCGGGGCCCTGCTGCGGCCCGCGGGGTCCCCTTCTGCGGCCGCGGGGGCCCCTGTTGGGGCTCTCGGGGGGGCCTTGCTGCGGCCACGGGGGCCCCTGGGGGCCCCCACCGGTGGGGGCCCCCGAGAAAAAGTCGGACCAGTTTTCCTTACGCGTCGACGCCCCTGCAACGCCACCAGGTCAACCTCCCGCGAAATAGATAGTTATTGCATTGCCATGTTGGACGCAGTTGAAGGAATGAAATAACTCCGTCTTCCTCGAAAACAAACTTGATGCAGGGTGTAACGACATATTTCAATGGTTGATGTGGCGGTGATGCGCATATATCTAATGCATACTCGTAAGCTACGATATGTATATTTGATATGATTGGCATAGCCTCGGCGAAAATGAAATAATGTTAAGATTGTAGATACTTTTCTAAATGTCCTAGTCGGAGTCAGCGTACCTATGTATTTGCAGCAGTTCCGTTTTATTATGATTAAGTGCTTTTAACTGTGGCTTTATAAGAGTGATACAGGAAATTGCTCTTATTTTCCTTACAGGCACAGACATATGGTTACCAAAATTTAGGAATAAGAGACTTGTCAAGGTCAAGTTATTCCATCACCAGTTATTATGTCGCATTTTTTAAAACGTACCAATTCAAACAAAAAGCCAGACATTAATCTTTGAAATGGAAGTTGTTTCGTATTAGATATGTTCAACCAGGCAACCCATTCAGCCGGCCACAGTACGCATATTCGTAGTCCAACGTTTCCTTATTGGTAGTCAGGTGCAGTTGCCTTCAGCATTTCAGCGCTAACTTCGAAAGGGATAGTAATTTCCGACAGTCCTATCTCCCGTCATCGCCTCACTTCACGGCACCAGCGCTGACATTTGGAACACGTGCCTAGTTTGTTAGCGACTCGCTCCACTGTGGCATACCGCCCTTTGGCGAATGTCGATCGGGTGTCGCCGCCCCCGCCCGAGCTCCTCCTTTACCGTGTGCCGTCCGCCCCCGCCCGCCCCCCCCCCCCTCCCCTTCCCCGTGTCAGGCCGGCGCCGGCTGGTGAGCGAGTGCCGTTCGTAATCAGGTCTGCGGGGTCTACTGCGTCACAGCGGGCTCCCGGGGGGGGGGGGTGGCGTCCCCCCCCCCCGGTCCGATCGGTCCCGCACGAGCGAGCACCGCCTCTGCAGGTGATAGCCGGAGGCCGTGGAATCTGACCCCGCGGTGACACACTTATCCTGCCCCCCTCCACCCCCGCTTCCCCAGCCCGTTGTGTCCGGCTGGGGGGGGGGGGGGCGGTCACGTGTCACCATATGGTCAGCTTTTGGACGGGCAGTATCAGACGCAACACAGACATTCACATGTCTATAGACCTTCGTTACTTGTTCTGCATCCTTCCCAGCTTTCTTCCCACGAATTCCTCATCAGTCAGCGGCGAGCTGCGCACGGGTGGGCTGGCTTCCTCTCTGTGCTGATGACGCCCTCACCGCCGGCTGTCCGCGGCGCCGGGGTGGGTCCCGGGAGGCGGCCTCAATGGGTAAGAGTGGCGCCGCGGCGCCGGCCAGCGTCAGATGAATCTAGCGGCGAGTATTTTTAGCGGCCACGTATCGACCGGGTGCCTCCCACGCGCCGCTGCCGGCCCCGATCGCCGCGCCGACCGCTCGAGAGCCGCCGTGGCCCGCGCTCACCGCCCTGCCCACGCGGCCGACACTGAAAAATGGCCCGACAAAAACGGAAACAAGGCACCTGAGTCAGAGTGCAGCCGGGCAGCCAGGCGTGCTTTCGCACTTCATCGTCTGTTGCGACAAGTTACTAACGGTGAAGTTTATAGGTAATTCACAATGAATGCAAACTTTCCATATCATTCCATAAGCGAAAAGCACATTCAGGTTTTAACATATGTGGTGCAATATGAGCATTACATTGTGATCTATGCCTGCTGCGGTCGGACTTTAACCCTATGAGGGCTATGACATATTCAGCTAAAGACTCATCACAGCAATCAGCACCGTGCGCATCACTGACCCAGACGGAAACCAATCCCGGATACCTGACCAATGAATGGAGCATTATCCCAGCATGCCACATCAAATCGAGACTCATCAAATCAAAGGCGAAACGCATTACCGAGCTGCAGCAATACAGAACACATTTGGGAGGTCAATGAACTTTGAATTTCTACATAGCTAGCGTGGGAGTGCAATTTGGCGCCGGACATGTATTAAAGCAGGAAGGATTGATGCAATCGCTGCAGGAAGGATTGATGCAATCGCGGCTCTCATGGGGGCGGACTTTGAACGATGCGAACTATAGTTCTTATGTGCGAATATAGAGTATGCGTTGCGACATGCAACAGGTTCCATACGGCACACGCGTGCCATTTCCCTAAGAGCACCACCGTCATTCCCTATGCAAGGTGTGTGCCGCCGGGACCATCTGGAACAAATGACGCCACCTGGCTATCCAGTATGCATCGATCCTTGTTGTCGATGCGCGACAGCGGGACGTTTTCCGGTCAAGGCTGGCGGTCCGCGGACAGACGGGCGGGCCAGGGGTCGATAGAGCAGACGGGCTACATCAGTGTGCGCCTGTGGTGGTCCACAGAGACACAGGGAGAGAGGAGAGAGAGAGAGAGAGAGAGAGAGAGAGAGAGAGAGAGAGAGAGAGAGAGAGAGAGAGAGAGAGAGAGAGAGAGAGAGAGAGAGAGAGAGAGAGAGAGAGGAGGTGTACCTAGGATCCGTTTGGCAGTGCGGTGTAACACTGCATTCATCAGTGCCCGGGTATCCGGCGATAATGCAATGGAACGCAAACAATGCAAACAGCCCTATTAATTAAAGGCTTGTATTCCAGCAAATGCTGTTTCATTAAGAATGCATTGATATCCGGCAGGCCTTGAATAGCGACTCGTAAGATTTGCAAAATCGCATATCAATGGAGGAATAACGTAAAAGCTGCGCATTATCTTGACCCATGAATGTGTTGCCACGGCCATCACTAGCTAGCAAACTAATTTTAGAACACCAAGCAAAAAAAGTCTTCAAACATCAGCCATCAAACACTTATCAAGCTAATCTTTATGGCGTTGTCTCAACTATATATGTTTTGTAAATATTTTCATAACATAACCAGTAACCACGCTCTTAAAAATAAACACATTGTAAAACATCGTTTTATCACCACCTTCAGAAGTACACAATAACCACAAAACCATACATTTCCGGAGCGCATTTAGTCTCTTTGAAGCTCCGATATTTGACAGGGTTCCAGACTGGGCACGTCTGACGTCAGCAGATATCGTTTGACGCATATCCTCGGCGTATTTTGTT